ACACACACACACTCTCACCCTGTAAACCCAGGGTATATACACATACACACACACACTAAACCCAGGTCATATACACACACATACCCGTGCGCTCAGTGCCCCCCCCTGACTGTACCCTCCCGGTTATCACGGTGTTGCCGATCCCCCGGACACTGACCCGATGAGCTCTAGGAGCAGGCTCCGGACACTGAGTCCTCGGGCAGTTTTCGCTGAGATGACGGTGATGATTTGGGGCACTTTGAGCACCGAGCAGACCAGCAGGGTACTGGTGTTGGCCAGCATCAGCAGCATCTCCGCCTGGGCACCTCTCTGTGTGCCAGCCGGTACAGCCCTGGGTACAGGACTCTTTCCGGATACGCCTTGAAACAGAGCTGCAAGGCGACCCGTTCTCGGCCGGGGAAAGGAGGCGGACCCGGGCTGGAGGCTGCTCCCTTACACATTTCCTTCTTGTGTTCACTTTCCCCGGTGTCAGAGCTGCAGGCTGAGCTCTCTGCAAAATGTTCAACACACTGTATAGCTGTCTGAGCGGAAGATGGGCCACTCCTTCCAACGTACTAATGCACTTCCTTTCCAATGTACATTTACTGTGTGCGCTATCAGCTTTTAATGGCCGGGACACACAAAAAGTAGGTTCTGCTAGAGACGTGCCCCACAGCCAGAGGCAAACTCGCCCCAGGCAACTCTCAGCTTCAGGTGGTACTTCAAAAGAGCTCTTGTGGTAGCGTCCCTACCTCTGAGCCAGGAGGCCTGTTCAAGGGGTGTGAACAGGTTGAAACAAAAACAAAGTTGCTGAGCTTTCCCAGAAGAGGAAGGGACACCGGACTCGAAACGTTAACTCTGACTTTTTTCTCCTTCACAGACGCTGCCAGACCTGCTGAGCTTTTCCAGCAACTTTGTTTTTGTTCCTGGTTTACAGCATCCGCAGTTCTTTCGGTGTGAACAGGTTGATTCGAAAATAGTGTTTTTGTTTAGCAATGATACGCCCCAGGACAATTTACAGTCATTTCCTGGAGAGAGGAGCTTTTTGACGTTTTGCCCACTCACTTATCGATAGCCATTTATTTTGTAGATATTTCATATTCCCCTCATAACTTGCTTTCCTAACTGCCTTAATTGTTGGCCCCTTACAGCCCAATCATTAATGTGGAAACATTGAAAAGAGGAGTAGGCCCATTCAGACCTTTGATCCGGCTCCACCATTCAATGTCCTCCCTCCTTACTATCCAAAACCCCATAAATGCCTTCCAAGTGAAGCAGCAATTTACCCGCACTTCATTCAACCTGGTGTACTGTATTTGCTGATCGCAGTATGGTCTTCTGGGTGACTGTATTACAGATCTGTCTATAAAAACAATCCCAAGGTTCCAGTCTGATGCCACTCCAGCACATCACATTTCCATGCCATTATTTCTGTCTCATGCCTGGTAGAATGTTTGAGCACAAGCTCAAAGAACAACATCTCATTTCCTGCTCAGGGACCCTGAAGCTTCAAGGACTCAGCATCAACTTCAATAACTTTCGAACCTGATTCCAACCCCACACCTTGTTCTGTCATGACATGAGTTGCTTACAGCACAGCCTACCCAATCCCTCACCTCTCCTTAACATTTATTCAGCTTCTCTTCTGTCCTGTTATCAACATTCCCCTCATCTGCCTAGCCCTTTAATATCACTCCCTGGCCTCTGTCTCCACCTAACCAATCCCCCCCCCCCCCCCCCCTCCACCACCCCCCCCCCCCACTTGCCTTCAGTAAAAATACCACTTTTTCCTGGACTTGAAATATTAACTCTGTTTTCTCCCCACAGGTGCTACTAGACCCATTGAGTTTCTCCAGGAATTTCTGATTTTTGTTTCAGTACCCTGTTCCTGCTTTCTCCCTCGATCCTCTGCTCCCTTTAGCCCCAAGGACTGTAGATTTTAAATAGTTGAACCCAGTTGGGCTGAAAACAAATGGTACATTTTGTCAAGTCTTTTTATCTTGCACTCACTGGGCCATTCACAGGATTATTGAAGTATCAACGGATGTTTTATACTCGATGAGAGGTGGGTGCTGATTGACGAGTGGACTCAAAAACTGATTAGAAAACACATTCTTCTCTCTCTGATTTGGAATTGGAAACATTTAGCAATTTCACTCCCAATTTCCACACTGTTCTGACCTTCGACTTCATCTGGTTGGCATCCTGCAGGGCATAAAAACCAAAAGAACCACGGATGCTGTAAGTCAGGAACAAAAGCTGAAGTTGCTGGAAAAGCTCAGCAGGTCTGGCAGCATCGGTGAAGAAAAAAATCAGGGTTAACGTTTCAAGCCTGGGAGACCATTCCTCAGAACTGATGGTAGCTAGGAAAATGTCGGTTTATATGCAGAAGTTAGGGTGGGGAGAGGGGGTAAGGAGTAAATGATAGGTGGGGATAGAGCACAAAGAGAGAAATGAACAATTGGATAGGAATTGGTAACAATCAGGCTAGGAGGGTGAATAGCAGTTAATGAAGACTGTTAGTGGTCAATGATAGGTAGTGTGCAATGGCAGGCTATGTAATAACAGGCCTGGTATGTGGGGTTGGGGGCTGGGGCATGGGAGAGTTTAGGCCCTAAAATTATGGAACTCGATATTGAACCCAGAGGGAAGCAGGGTCCCCAAGCGGAAAATGAGGTGTTGTTCTTCCAGCTTGCACTGAGCTTCGCTGGAACACTGCAGCAAGCCTGAGATAGAAATGTTGGCCAGGGAATAGGATGGTGTGTTAAAGTGGCAGGCAACTGGTCTCAGGGCTCTTCACTTCTTCCTGGAGCAAAGGCCTGAACCGTCCCCACTCACCACCACCCTCCTCTGCTTGGCCGAGCTTGTCCTGACCCTCAGCAACTTCTCTTTTAACACCCCTCATTTTCTTCAGATCAGAGGGGTGGCCATGGGTACCTGCATGGGCCCCAATTATGTCTGTCTCTTCATGGGACATTCCTTCTTCTAGTCCTATTCCGGCCACCCCACCCACAAATGGGCGTGGTGGCACAGTGGTTAGCACTGCTGCCTCACAGTGCCAGGGATCCAGGTTTGATTCCACCCTCGGGAAACTGTCTGTGTTGGAGTTTGCACATTCTCCCTGTGTCTGTGTGTGTTTCCACCGTGTGCCCTGGTTTCCTCCCACAGTCCAAAGATGTGCAGGTTAGGTGGGTTGGCCGTGCTAAATTGCCCGTAGTGTTCAGCAACGTGTAGGTTAGGTGGGATGATGTGGAGGTGCTGGTGTTGACTGGGGTGGACAAGGTCAGAAATCACATGACACCAGGTTATAGTCCAACAGGTTTATTTGAAAAAAATAAGCTTTCGCAGCCTCAGACCTTCTTTAGGTGTCATATAATTCCTGACCTAGGTTAGGTGCGTTAGCCATGGGAAATGTAGAGTTACAGGGAAAGGGTACTAGGATGGGGCTGTGTGGAATGCTCTTTGGAGGGTTGGTGGAGACTTTTTGGGCCAAATGGCCTGTCTCCACTCCTTAGAGATTCTTTGGAAAATCTCTTTCTCCCATTGTATCGACGATATTATCAGTGCTGCTTCCCTCTCTCTCTTCTGAAGTTGGAAAAGTCAATCAATTTCACTTCCAATTTCTACCCTGTCCTCACTTTTATTTGGTCTGACTCTGATTCCTCCCTTCCCTTCCTTGACATTTCTGGGGTTAGACTGGCTGCGAATATCCACTGTAAACCCACCGACTATATCAATGATTTGGATGAGAATGTACAAGGCAAGATTGGTAAGTTTGTGGATGATGCAAGAGTAGATGGTATCATGAACAGTGAGGAAGATTATCAGAAATTGCAGCAGGATCTTGATCAGCTGGGGAAGTGGGTGGAGAAATGGCAAATGGAGCTTAATGTAGATAAGTGTGAGGTGTTGCATTTTGGAAAGTTAAATCAAGGTAGGAGGTTCATGGTAGGGCCTTAAGAAGTGTAGTCAAACAGAGAGATCTTGGAGTTCAGGTGTACGGTTCTCTGAAAGTGGAGTCACAGATAGACAGGGCAGTGAAGAAGGCTTTCGGCGTACCGGCCTTCATCAGTCAGGGTATTGAGTACAGAAGTTGGGAAGTTATGCTCCAGTTGTATGGGACGTTGGTGAGGCCACGCTTGGAGTGTTGTGTTCAGTTTAGTTACCTTGCTGTAGGAAGGATGTTATTAAACTGGAAAGAGTACAGAAGAAATTTACAAGGATGTTGCCGGACTCAAGGCACTGAGTTATAGGGAGAGGTTGGACAAGCTCAGGCTCTTTTCATTAGAGCATAGGAGACTGAGGGGAGATCTTATAGAAGTGTATAAGATCATGAGAGATTGGGTGAATGCACTCAGTCTTTTTCCCAGGGTTGGGGAATCAAGGACTAGAGGGCATCAGTTTAAAGTAAGAGGGGAAGAATACATGGGAACCTGAGGGGCAACTTTTTTACACAGAGGGTGGTATGCATATGGATTGAGCTGCAAGCAGAAGTGGTTGAGGCAGGTACATTAACAACATTTAAAAGGCATTTGGATGAATACATGGATAGGAAAGGTTTAGAAGCATATGAGCCAAGTGCAGGGAAATGGGTTTAGCGTGGATGGACATTTTGGTCGGCATGGACCAGTTTGGGCTGAACGGCCTGTCTCTGTGCTGTAGGACTCTATAACTCCCATGGCCACCTGGACTCTATCTCCTCACACCTTGCTTCCTGTAAAGACTCCATTCCATTCTTTCAGTTCCTCTATCTCTGTTGCATGTGTTCCGATGATGCCAACTTCAACAATAGAGCCTCTGAAATGTCCACCTTCTTCCTCAACCAAGGATTCCCCAGCACCGTTTTCGACAAGGCCCTCAACCGGGTCCAATCCATCTCCTGCACTACCGCCCTCAACCCCTTTCTTCCCTCCCACAACGGCGATAGGGTTCCCCTTGTCCTTAGCTACCATCCCACCAGCATCCACATCCAGAAGATCATCAAATGCTATTTCCACCACCTCCAGCGAGATGCCACCATCAGACACATATTTCCCTCCCTTGGCTGCCTTCCACAGGGACCATTCCCTCCAGGACACCCTAGTCCACTCTTCCTTTACTCCCAGCAAAGCCCACAGTCCCATGACACCTTCCCCTGAAATTGCCAAAGGTGTAACACCTGCCCATTTACCTCCTCCCTCCCCAGTATCCAAGGGCCCAAATATACCTTCCAGGTGAAGCAGCACTTTATCTGCACCTCATACAATCTAGTCTACTGCATTCACTGCTCACAATGTGGTCTCCTCTACATTGGGGAAAGGAAGGGTAGACTGGGTGACTGCTTTGCAGAACATCTAGGGTCCCTGAGCTTCCAGTTGCTTCCCACTTTAATGCACCACCCTGTTCCCTGGCCAATATCTCTGTCTGAGGCTTGCTGTAAGTGTTCAAATGAAGCTCAGTGCAAGCTGGAAGAACAGCACCTCATTTTCCGCTTGGGGACCCTGCAGCCCTCTGGACTCAATATCAAGTTCAATCATTTTAGGGCCTGAAC